ATAGTTGCACATCGATATAAAATCATTCTTTGACTACCTGTAACATCATTGCTACCATTATGTCGCTTTTAATATTGATAATGTTGATAAATAAGGTATAAAAATGTTTTTTATTTAAAAGGCTTGAGATTTTCCACTCAAGCTTAGGGCAGTATACTTGCGTGTTTACAAAGTCTTGGCAATTGCTAAAATAAAAACTTTATTGGCGTCCTTTAAAATGCCACCATGAGAGCTTTTAAAAGAATATTGTGAACCATAAAGTGTGTGAGAAAGACTGCATTAAAGGGCCCCTATCATGGATTTTTGAAAATGACTGTTCATGTAGTGTGTAATATAGCTCTAAGTGAATGAAAACATCCTGCAAAGTTTTATATCTGAAAGTGCACCGTATATAAAGTTATTGTCTTTCAAAAGTGAGAGTCGACTCTGAGTCAATGAAATGAATTGTTTTTCAAACGAGTCATTAGCCGTTTCGTAGTGACGTAGATACGAAACATTAGCATATTGGCCGCGCCCAGTTATTGCGCACGCACTCGAAGAGAAACTGAAACCTCAAACGCAGCTGATTCCTGTACTGGACAGCATCATGTCGAGAAGACGGCGCTGTGCATAATGTGAAGGTAAAGCCAGTTATTTTTCACTCCCCAAGGATGAGCATGTGAAGAATCAGTGGTTAAAATTCATCTTTACCAAGATATTACAGCAGTATAATCCTAAACTATTCCTGTGTTCCCTTTATTTTACTGCAGGATTCACAAACCGCTTGCTCTTGAAATATGGTGTTAAAAATACTTGGTTTTGAGTTTTATATTGTGTAGGTCTCCTGCCTACTCACATTATCACTGCCTTACTGAAATACTTGTGCTGATCAGCTGTGGGCCACTATTATCGAGTCATCCTTGCGATGGAGGTTGAATAACTAGTTCTTCTAATATTTCTTCATCGCACTCCCGCTCGCATTAATATGGTAAAATCGACGTCATTGTTCGTTACTGTGTTTAGTTTATGGTGATGGAAGCCTCAGGACACGCAGAGCTGTCGCGTTATGCAGTCTATGGTGTAATGGCAATGGGCGTTTTTGTTCTCGCGCTGTACACGGTAGACCACTCACTCACATCAGACTGCGCTGTCTGGCCAATCAGAGCAGATAAACTCGCGGAAAAGAGGGATTTAGAGAGATTGATTCATTTGACGAGCCGTTTGAGAATGACACATTGAAAATGTGATGATGTGCAAATGTATATTGTGAGGAAATTAAACAGTTTAAACATGTTGTAGGAGACTCTACAACATCATTAGGAAACTTTAAAATACCATGATAGGGGCACTTTAATTTGGTTGTTAAACCCTTTGTGTGTTAGGTGTATTGAAGCTATTGGAGGGGGAATTTCTGGATGAGAGTGTAAAGAAACGACTGAAAGACCCCAATGAGATGCCAGGTGCTCTGTGGCACATCTACATGAGTAAAGACCTACAAAAGATCCAGGAGTTCCTACAAAAGGTATCACACTACTTGATCATGTAAAGCTTATGACCTTATGTACTTATAGGTAAGGAATGAGTTGCCCGAACTAATGCAGTAAAGTATGGTGTGCCACAAGGCTCTGTCTTGGGCCCTTTGTTTTTCTCCCTCTGCATGCTCCTGAATCATGCCATTTGCTTGCATTGCTATGAAGATGACACAGCTCTGTATTTCCTCTAAATTTAATTAGCTCACTAAACACTTCATAGTTATATTGATCCTCTAATAGACACCCCTCGCCCAATCATTGAGGATATGCTATTCATGCTCTTGTGTGTGCATGTAGGTTGGTGCTGAGCAGCAGACTGAAGCAGATCCAGGGACAGACTCGGACTCGGAGTGGGACGGTGATGCCGACCCCCTGCGTGAGGGAGGCTGGTATCTGAGCCCCAGGCTGAGACAGAAGTTACAGGAGGAATATGGCGTAGAGAGTCGCACACTCCTCCAGTTCCATGGAGATGCTGTTATCATCCCTGCTGGAGCTCTGCACCAGGTACTTTACCACACTCACATTTCCAGCTACATCCTCCTAAAGCAATCTGTCCTGTGCTCTTGGGAAGGATGGCTCTTAAAGCTGTCAAACCACCAGGCATTCAGTATTAAATATTTCACGCTGTGTCTTTGTAGGTGATGAATCTGCACAGTTGCATCCAAGTGAATGTAGACTTTGTGTCCCCTGAACACGCGCACAACTCCTATTATCTTACTCAAGAGCTCCGCCCTCTCAAGGACCAAGTGAACTATGAAGACAAACTCCAGGTACCTCCATCTTCCTAATGTGGCCTTATTTTGTCAGTCGATCGTTAAATTTCCATTTCTACTGCATCATGCTGGTAATCTCATGTTAGTTATGTTAGTGGCGTTGTGCCTCACAGCATTTTCAATTCATTCTTTTAAATTCTGACTTGAGGCTGAAATACACTATATGATTTTTGCTGCTATTTACAGTTTGAAGGAGTTGAACCAGATTTTCGTCAGTCGGAGTTGACCGATTGCACAGAGAATCACATAGTGTAGGATGGGCACAGACTCCTATTTTCTTAGCCTGGTTAAAACCAGACCATTCTCAGTTGTAACTGAGTTATGGTCTGGCAAAGCGTCATAGACAAATCATTTCCAGAGGGCCGTCACCAACGGACGTCGCGGATAGACCTAAAACCAATCAGAGCGATGAAGGAGATGACGTATGCAGAGCGGCGGAGAAACATCTCCGAGTGTTGTTCTTTGCTCGTTTTTTAACAAAAAGGAAACGTTCAAATCGCTCAAAACAGACGCGATAGCTGATTAGAACGAGTGATGTTCGACGGCGGCATCCATCTTTGTAATGTAGGCTACAAAATCAGCTTCAAAATCCCAGCGCTGTCGTCATCGTGTAAAGCCCGCCCCAACGTTTCTGATTGGTGCCTCGATTTCGACGGATTGGAAATGGGCTTGAATGAGCTCTTTGCCAGACTAACTTTCAGAGAAAATCTAAATTTGCCGGAAGTTGTCTGGGTTTTCCCAGGCTACTATTTTCTAGCTTCAGACAATGATTCCATCCATCAAAGATTTGATATTTAAAACACATATTGTCATTTGTCTTCTTGCAACAATGCATGTGAACAAGTTTAGAATCGTTTAGTGTATGATGTCGAGTTTTCCTTCTGTAACCATTTACAAAGTTGGCAAGTGTATGATTCCTACTTGCCTAGTGTTTTAAATCTGTTCAGAAGTTGTATAGTGTATTGCAGCCTTTAGTAATAAGAGACATGATGTAGCCATAATTGCTATTACAGTTTTATATTCCCTGATTGTGATACTGACATTTTTCGTAATCCAGTCTAATTAGGCATAAGTAAAATCTGATTGCACAATATATTTTCACCCCTCTTTATTGTTCAGGTGAAGAACATCTTTTATCACTCTGTGAAGGATGCTGTGGCCACATTGAGGAAGCATTTAAAGGAGAAGAACCCAGACCAGGTAAAACAGGAGGAGTCCTGACAATGCATCTCCTCCTCTGTCCAAACCCTTGGGGCATAAAGACAATACCAAGATTCTCCAGGAAAGGAAAGAACCTGTGCTTAGACTTGATTTCAACAAAATGGGCCACTCTGCCAGATTCTGTGACTTCCTCTATTATGTCACTTTCTTCTCTTTGATTTTATTCTCATTGTTTGACCTTCCCCGCTGTGTCTTCTTGCATGGACAAGAAGTGAGGTAAGTGGTACAGCAAACAAGATGAAAGTAGTACACTGTGCTCTCCAGACAGGTGCAATGAGCTTTAAAGCCCACTTGCCGCACACGCAGAAGGCCCTGGAAAACAATTAGAAAGAAAAACACTGGCAAATACATGTTTTTCCAAAGGTGATAACGATCCGTTACATGTTCTTCATCAGTAGTTCTTGCACTGCGAAGTGTTCACCATGCTGTGTTTTGCACAGTTGGAGAGAGCAGAGATTCTAACGCAATCATTGCAGTATTCCATCACATCAGCAGCTGCCAAACTGACAGGTTTCATTATGTTAGAACAATATTAAATTATTTACAGTTAGGCAAATATTCACTGTGCAGAAGGAGAATATTAAAGAAGTTGCAGTTTATTCTGTGTTTGTTTGAAAAAAGATCTTGTGAAATTTTCAGCTGAAATGTAATATGTAAATAGCAGAATATACATATATAAATATATATATATTAATTATGATTTTCTATAACATGGTGTGCTTTATTTGCTGTGTGTTGTTTACTACTGTATGTAAATTGAAGTTAAAGAAATGTTTTACATTTTCCATTAAAAATGGAATAATCAAAAAATGTTTGTCTTTCAACGGTTTACGTCCTCCGTTAATATCAATTAAAAAAACAATTAAAGATTATTCATTCAGTTTTTTAGGCTTAAATTAAAGGGATAGTTCACCCAAAAATAATTTACTTATTCAGGTGTTGATTTAATGCCACAGAAAATAACTCACGGCAATCAAGAAAGTGGCAGTGAATAGTGACCAGCTTCAAGCTTTAACAAAAACAGTGTTGTAAGGCTTTGGAGAAAAACAAACCAAAATTTAATTCATTATTTAAGCAAAAATCCTGACCTTTGCTGTTGGTATTCTGTGCTTGACTGCATGTTTATGACACTGTATTCGCTCATGTAAAGAACCAGCTAAAAGTCAGTTTCACTTCACTGCTCTCACATACACATACGCTTTTATAAAGTGACGTGTAAAACTAAGTAGAATGTAGTTTTTAGACAAATGCTGCTCAATTCTGACACATATCAATAAAATGGCATAAAGCATTGGCACCACATTTTACATCTGTGATGACATTTCAGATTGAATCAGGAATATTCAACAAGAAAAAGGGTTTTCCTATTTAATCATTATAATTACATGTTCAATAAGAAAGGAACATTTATCTATTAAAAAAAGTCAATAAATAGGCTCAACTTTCACCCAATATTGACATTCTAAACAACTCTAAACTGACTAAAGTTTGTCTGCTCTCATGCCAGGTGATTCACCAGTGCTCAAAAGTTTGAGGTAGTGTAGGTGTATGCAGGTCTAGCTGTCATTTGCCATCTCCAACAGTAGCTGGATCTGGTTCTGGAGGTCAGAGGGCACGTGCAGGAGCCTCATGCCCAGCGGTGAAGGTTGAGCTAGAGAAGCTGTGGGGCTCTGATGCTCCTCATAAGGGTCTCTCCTCAGACTAGCATTCTCTGCCTTCAGTTTCTGGTGTTCCTCCATCAATCGCTTGTTCTCCACGAGCAGGACAGCCATGAGCTTCCACAGGTCAGCGATGGCAGTGCTCTGCTCTTCCAGTCGAGTCTTGTCATCTTTGGCAGCCTTCCAGCCGAGCGGAGGACTTTGGACGACTGTTTGACCGGGACACTGTGTTATCAGGGATGATGAGCTGTGTTTTGAAGGGCTCGGGATCTTTCCTTTGAGTTTGGCCTGTTTCCAGCTCATCTTGATCTGTCGCTGCTGTTGGAGATGTCTGTCTCTCTGGAGCTCTAAAGACAGCCGTACCTTGATATATATATATATAAATATGGTTAAAATGACTGTACTTTACAACAATGCCTACACTCTGAAAAGAAAATGTACATAAGTGTAAAAGTATTTCATGTAAAAGAACTTTCATTGTAGTTTGTACCTTTTTGACATTTCGTACTTTTTGTACTGTACAAATTCAGGAGAGGTACATTTCTATAGGCATGAGCCTTAAAAATGAAGACACATTTCCATCTGTTTTATGCGCATTTTGGGATATCAGATTAAAAAAAAACACTGGAAGTGCCAAGATCTGCATAAATTCTAAAACCGTGCATAAAAATAACAAAAAAATATGGATAATTATTTGTATAATATAAGAAGATGTCCTTGTTAGCGCCAGAGACCCCAGTTCAAACCCCACTCGGAGAGACAGCATCTCAAAATTTGGTTTGATCATTCTGAGATACCTGAGCCAAAGTCTGTCATCAGAATGAATTGGTTTAATTCCCTCCCAAAAACACCAGCATCCGAACGCAAGAGGACATAACCACGTTTATTGTGTTTCATCTGCGCGATCTGAGACGCAAGTCATTTATGATGTAAGAAAAGAGCCACAGTGGCTTCACCGATTGCAACAACTTCCATTTTTATTACAAATATTTTGCGCCAATTTCCCAGGAAGTGGCGATTTAGTTCTCTTGAGCACATGGGATGGAAACGCTGTTTTATTCGCAAATATTTAATGCGATATTCCAATTGTGTTAGCAAGTTAAATTTGCAACTGCATAAAAACATGGCTAATAACAGCAATTGTCTGCAGATGTTGTAAAAAAAATAAAGTATTATTTTGAGTAATTTTTTCGTTCTTTTCTCCATTTAGGCTTTCAAGGTGATGTTGATGATGGTGTGATGTTGATATGGAGTTGCAGTACTCCATAACAACATTACACCATCAACTTTAGGTACAATATTTGTACCAGGAAGTTGGTAAAAAAAAAAATCAAGAACTTTAGTTCAGTAAAGAGGTGTTACACTGATCCAAAGATTACATTGTTACAAAACAAATCTATCCAGGATCCTGAAAAAATCAGTTTCCACAAACAATATTGAATAATTTGTTGGAAAAGTATCAAATTAGCATGATTACTGAAGGATCATGTGACACTGAAGACTGGAGTAACGATGTTGAAAATTCATAAAATAAATTTAATTTGAAAACATTAAAATGGAAAAGTTATTTTTAAAATTGTCACAATATTTCACAATATTAATGTTACTGTATACTGTATTTTTTATCAAATAAATGCAGCCTGAGTGAGACTTCGTTAAAACATAAAACAATAAAACCTGTAACAGTAATGTGAGTCTTTACTAATATCTATAAATAGGCCGATGTGGAATCTGAGACCATCTGTATATTTGCCCTAAAGCTGGTCCAGCTTCCATCTGGGTCAGTCTACAAGTTACACATATTAAAGGGATAGTTCACTAACTTTGAAATTAATTTTTGGTATGTTTTAGCTTACCTCAAGGGCATCCAAGATGTAGGTGTATTTGTTTTTGATTTAAAAATATCAAAATTGAAACTACTGCGGAAACAAATACACCTACATCTTGGATGCCCTTGAGGTAAGCTAAAACATATCAAAAATTAATTTCAAAGTGAACTATCCCTTTAACAAAAGAAAAGTTTGAGATTTTTGTGATATACTCAGCTATCACCATGCCTCATAAACTATATTTGAATATTATAAAATCAATTTAAAAATGGAAAGACAGGACAAGTAACTGTCAACGACACTTATTACGCAGGTCTACGCAAAGGCAGACCGTTGGAATGGAGTCACACTTGTCGTAAACCTTGTCTTACCTGTTCAGTGTGTGTCATTGAGAAGGCCTCGTTCAACAGCTCTGAGCAGAGAGAGACACAACGACATTAGTTTACTCCTTCATTTATCTTCCTGTAACTTTGCCAGTTCTTCATGTGTGGATTATCTGGAGAACAAAGAGGGCTTCATTACTTCACCTGCTGCTTCACTGTGGCATAAGATCGCCTCTTCATATTTTTCTTTCGCCACCAGCTGATCTGCCTTTCGGCCGTAATGATGGGCCTGTAGTAAAGACAACTGCCATGTTTTCTGGGGAAAGAAAGTCCCACATATTAGGTGTCATTAACTATTATGTACTTACATAAAATAAATGTTAGGTACAATGTAGTTATGGTGTTCATGTATTGCAAAACACTTTTGCTGCTATTGCGGTGGGATACGGACAGGTTTGGTGGTTTGGTTAGGATTAAGGATGGGTTAACGTGTAAGGGAAGGTCATATTATAGATGTAATTATAGAAATTAACAGCTGTAATAAATCAAGTACAATTTAAAAACACGTATGTACACAAGCGCATTGTATCAAATGATTAAATTATCTCTCTGGTTGTGTTCGGGTCATTTTGACCAGGAGAGAATTTTCCTTTTCCCGAAAATAATAGTTAACGTCATCGCATTGGACCAAAACTTACTGACTTTACTCTCCTACTTCCCCAAAAATCTTTGAGGATTTTGAGAAATACCAAAGAGTTCCAAAAAGAAATAGAAAACCTGTTCTAATTTTATGAAAACAAGTTGACAAAAAGATTGAAACCGAGATTTGGTGAATGTGGTGTGTTCTCAGGAGCCAGTAAGTCATGTGATGTGATGTTCACCTGTGACGTGACGTGTGTTTGAACCTGAGTATCAGTAAAGTGTGCTTGAAGGCATTTGTTGGTTGTTTGCCTTGTTAACACACAACGGTGAATATTATAACGAGTGATTTACAAGCAAATTTTAAAAGGCCGGTTATTTTTGAACGGGAACACAAAAGGTTTAACAGGGTTTTCAACACAGCACAAGGGTAAAATGTTAAACATATTTGTAAAAGTGTTCAATAATTAAGTTGATGCTTGAGTCTTAAAACAGTGACTATATATGGAATATACCAAACTATACCACGTGTCAGACAAAACATTTCACAACTCTTAAAAAAACATACTGAAAGCCAGATTTTGGAAATGTTGAACAATCGTTACAATATTTCGCTTTTTTTTTTTTTTTACCTACTTATTTATTTACTAAACATAAGCTATTGACATAAGGCTCTTACAAATTAATCACATTAAAGGCTTGAAGTGGGACATAATGTCCGTATTTAAAACTTTAAAAACGTCAAGCCACTACAGAAAAACTTTCGTTTTTTTTTTTCTTTGTTTGTTTTTGTTTTTTATCTTTATTAACTCCAGTTACCACAAGTTGCCAGAACATTTATAGAGTTATACAGTGGTACATATCACTTACACGATTTATAGGGCTGTCCATACTTCATTTCTCTTTCATCCCCTGGTTTGACAGATTTAACTATGTTTAATTCCTTAATTTTACTGCGAGCACTCGCCACAGAAACAGTAGCGGTGAGTGGACGGACACCTTGCGCAACTACACGCGCGTGTTTGTTTGTAGTGACCTATTTTTTACAGTCTATGGTAGTGACCTTTACAGCCTATGGTAGTGACGTCAAAACGAGAACGAGAACGGAAGCCGGACTCCACGGTGTATGACGCCATCTCCTGGACAACACCGGTGCATCACTAATATCAGACATACTGAGGAGAAAATACTATTGCGTGCGTAAATATTGTGGAATGCTTGGTTTTTAGATGAGCAGCAGTGCATTACGAGGCTTTGCGTCACATGTAGGCTATAAATGAATCGCTCTCACGACATAACTAACAAGAAAAATCACAGATGCTACTGTACTCAATATGACAATATTTGATTCATCTTTAAGGGCCAGTTTCACAGACAGGGCTTAGACTAAGGCAGAATTAGGACATTTAAGTTGCTTTTATAAAAGTGTCTTAGAAAAAAAATTACTGCATCTTGAGACAATACAATGACTCTGACTGGCATTTTAAGATATATCAGTGCAAGTTGCTTTCAGTTAAAACAGCTCAAACGTTCATTTTAGTCTGGGACTAAGCCTTGTCTGTGCGATAGTAAGTACTATGCAAAATAGCAATTAATATATATATATATTGTGTTTTCATCAGCCAATCTGTATGTTATAGTGACATTCAAACGTTACATTTCAAGCTCAGTATTTTAACTTGGGTGATAATGCAGTGATCAGTTGTTTGCAGATTTTCTTGTCACAAAATTTTGTCACAACTGATCTATTCAGAATTCATTCCAAACATACTGTAACAAGGCTGAAATAATGTAACGTTTATGGCTAGAGACAATAATAATTACTTAGGGGTAATATAGTTTAATCATTCAACTGTTACGGGGGTCTATTTTCGGTAGCGCTTTAATTTAAAGTTAAGAGGTCAGAGGTCACTCTTCCACTGGTACGGCCATTATCAGAAGCCAGTGATTATGGTTAATAAAGTTATAAATATTATATTATATTAAAATGAGTTATAAATAGATATGTTTCTTACAAAAACGCATCGCTTCACTTCAGAAGGTGTTTACTACCCCACAGGAGCCGTATAAAGGACTTTTTATGATGGATGGATACACTTTTTTTGGGCTTCAAAATCTAAGGTACCATTCACTCCCATTATAAAGCTTGGAAGAGCCAGGATATTTATTAATATAACTCTGATTGTGTTTGACTGAAAGAAGAAAGTCATATACACCTAGAATGACTTGAGGGCGAGCAAATTATGGGATAATTTTACTTTTGGGTGAACTAACCCTTTAATGTGATGCAGTTACACGTTACTACATGTGCTTACTTTAGTAACAGTATATTATGCAAAATTACACAGCTAACCCTAAACCAAACCCTAACTCTATAGTAAGTACATGTAATTAATTAATATTACTCAGTACTTATCTGGAGTAAGTACAATGAAACTGTCAACTTCAAATAAAGTGTACGCCTATTTTCTGTTTAGTCTCTTTTCATCTGATATCATTGATTTTGTAATTCAGTGTAACACATTGTGATAGGTTGATTTGGATGTTTTATTGGATATGTAGGCTGGTGTACTCCAGCATGAGCACATTGGGGGTGGATGTTTTGTCTTTAACCATTCAAAGAGTCATCTGTGCAATATCTGCTGGCAGAACAGCTGAAATAAGACACAACATGAACAATAACATCAAATCAGTTCAAGTCCCATCATTTGTTATAATGCTCAAACACACATCACCTTCACCCAGATGAAGCACATAAAGTCATGGAAAATGAGAGCGATAGTGGTATTTCAGATGGCCCATGTTGATTTTCCATCTAATGATCCACGCTCCCCATCCTCTCCCTGCTGATGCTTTCTGTCTTTGTTTCTTGGTGATGACATGGGCAATACCATCAAACTATAGGGGCTTGGTCATCCATCTTCCTGCTCTTTCCTCCTACGCACGGGGAATTTTGCGTGATGGGGGTTCACTGATCCCTGTGAAAAAACACAACTGGAGCTTCTTATCCAGGAATACTTGGCTTGGGTTATTATTGCATGCTATATATTTGCTTAGAAGTTCTTGAAATTACTCGTCAGTTAATCAGATATAACTGTAAAATTGCATTTAATGAATACTTATATTAATAAAAAATATTAAATATTTAAAATGTACATTCAATTTATTTAAAATACGTAAATATTAAAATAAGAAAATGTGTCTTGGTGACTTACTGAAATATACTTTAAGTTCTAAAATACTACAACTAATATTAAAATAAATTAAAGCTAAATAGTACAAATAAAAATGTCTAAAACTTAATATATATATATATATATATATATATATATATATATATATATATATATATATATATATATATATAACAAATGAAAGTATTGAAATAAATGCTAATTCAAATATAATATTAAAATACAATAGTATAAAAATACTACACAGAGAGATGAATGATTATTGTTTATATACATATTCTATTTACTTTCTTGTTATTATTTTGTGTATGAACAGTAATATAATTATTAATAAAATAACAACATACTGTATGCTACAGCACCCGTGACTTTGTTTCTGTATTTAATTTACTTTTTTTTAATGACAAAACTGCTATAAGGCCTTGAGATCTTATGCCAAGTTCTAATATTTTAAATAAACATGTTCTAACTACCTGCATAGTCACATTTTAATTTTCCTAATTAAACATTTAAATAGACTAATATAAATTTTACTTTATGTTGAGCATCTGTGCAACACTTACTTTATACTTTATACAGCTATTGCACACTCATAAACAACTAATGATTCTGGTATAGTTTAATAAGAGACAATAATATACATACCGCTTCATTTCCTAATTGTTAATTACAGACTGTGGCTTGTTCTCCGGCAGTGGATTAAACAGTAATTTAGTTGCTGTATAATCTTGAGCTGTATGTGCATGCGGGCAAATCTTTTTGCTTTTGCTGGACGGCGATTCTGAAACATCAGCCAAAATCTTAATGACCAGCCTACAGTGAAGCTGTAATGTTCTGGCCTGGCAATGTTATACGTAAATACATTGCACTTCCTGCTATCAAATAGCTTGATAACTGAGAATGAGCTTCCATTCATAAAAATTGAGGTTTGTAAATCAAGTAAGAATATTACATTTTGAATTAGAATAAATTGGAGCTTTTTTTAATAATCAATTCTTAAAAATCTAAACGTCCTCTAGACTATTTAGGATGTCCAATGGATTTGAAAGAGTTAGACCAAAGAAAGGCTAAATATATATATAAAAAGACTGTGCACTCATATTACTTTTGTTATGAATGGGAGAAAGTGCAACGCGCAATATGGCGGAATAAGTCCCGCCTTCTAAATAAAAGAGCCAATCGCTGAATGATAAAGTCAGGTGTGGCATCACTGTTTGGGCCAATAGGGATTCGGCAGTTAGCATCACATCACAATAGGATTTTTCCATAGGCTTTTAGGTTATCGCAACAAAAAAAAAAAACATGTTTACGTACACGTTTTGTCCATCAAGATAATGTTCACAGATGAACACAACTTTTGTGAATGTTGAAGCCTGTAAATGCAGTCGATAATAAGTAAAAAGCTAAAGGTAGGCTATAAACGATACACCACGGTCACACGACTTCAATGTAACCACCACTAAGCTTCCGACAACTCTTTCGGTTTCATCTA